CCTTAACTTACAGTATCTCAGGAAGGGCACATTGTCCCATTGTCCAGGGACCGACTGAGTGTAAAGTTGCCCCCCACAAGGAGTTGAATCTCCTGTCGGCGTGGGGCCCGTCTGGTCCTCCCCGGAGTGGGATGGTACCCCTTGCCTTGGAAGGAGATGGGGCCTTGTCCAGCTGTCCAGCTGTCCAGCTGTCCAGGCGCTGACGCCCGGTGCACCCCAGAGCCGCTCGAGTTTCCCCCCACCCCACCCCCCTAGGCCTATTCTAGCGACTGAGCCAGCATCGCAGGCATCCTCGGGCTAAATAAGGAGCCTGCTTGGGTCAAGGGGCGGGAGCTGGGGTCCCGGGGGGCTTGGGGCAACCACGCCAAACAAGGCAAGGAGGGGAGCGATGTATAAAACCAGGGCCCAGGGCTGAGCACCTGCCCGCGCCCCTACTGTGCCATCGGGAGGGCTTCGCACCGCCTGCTGCCCACCTAGTTCACTCAGGCCCTGAAGTCGACGCCCCCACCCCCACGGTGAGTCCGATCCTCAGACCAGCTCTAGCCACTTCCATCCCGGGGACGTTTTGAATCCGAAGGGCAAAGGCTGAAGGTCGCAGTCTCTGTGTCAGCCTAGACCCCCGTGTTTGTTTTCCGCTGCCCAGATGTCCAAAGCGGCTCCCGCCAAAAAGCCGGCGGCTACGGCCCCGCCTCCGGGATGTAGCCTGGACATCAACGACCCCCAGGTCCAGAAAGCGGCCATTCGTATCCAGGCCTCTTACCGGGGCCACAGGTGAGGGGTAGCCCTAGCGCCTCTGAGGGAAGGGAGCTGAAACTGCAGAGTCCGCATTCCGCATTGGGGAAGGGCGGTCCTGAGCACAGGGCCAGGGCTGCTAAGGCCACTGGGTTTAGGGGGAGCAGTTGCTGAGATGTGGCAGGAGGCCGACGAGAGCAGGTCATTTCATCGGGGTAATGATTCAGGAGCGGCCCCTCCCCCGCACCTCCCTGTGCTTACGGGTCTAGTCGGCCGAGGGGGCGGGCAGGGGACTGCGTGCGGGCGGACAGGGCTGCGGGAGGGTGCGAACGGTGTCTGGGAGCTCTGGGCCCTGCCCCTGCCCGCGAGCAGGTCCCGGAAGGAGCTGCGGGAGACTGGGCCGCCGCGCGTGCTGGAACCGCTGAAGGACGTGGTGCTGATCGAGGGCAGCGCGGCCAAGCTGACTTGCCGCATTTCGGCTTTCCCGGACCCATTCATCCGCTGGAGCAAGGACGGCAAGGAGCTGCGCGACGGGCCCAAGTATCGCTACATCTTCGAGGACCCTGACGTAGTCGCGTTGGTGGTGCGCGATGGCGAGCTGGCGGACCTAGGCCAGTACAGCATCAACGTAACCAACCCCTTCGGCCAGTGCTCCGACTCGGCGCGCATCCTCGTGGAAGGTGCGCGCGCCCCGCGTGCAATGCCGCGGAGCAGAGCAGCATCGCCGTCTGCAGCCGGGTTCAGCCGCGTGTTTATCCTCGGGCCTAGCTGAGTCCGGATGGGGATGTGGCCAGCCCAGCCCCTGGCACAGCCTGAGGCACAGAGTAGGGCGCAGAGCCGCACGGCCTGTGTAGTCTTTTCTACCTCGGGATCCCATCCCACCCAGGCTAACAAGTCCGGTATGGGTTTCAACCACTCGACTTCAGAGCGCCAAGGGCACAGCGATCCAGGGGGCAGAGCTAGGGTTAGAGAGAGCCCTGATCTTCTGGCTCCCAACCCAGGGCAATCTCCACTATCCAGAGCTGTCTCCAAGGCACCCCGAGAGGTGTGAGCATTCCTGGGCTTTCACCCATAGTATCTCTTCTCATCCTCCATTCAACCCTACGAAGTAGGAGGGGCAGGGATTAATCTCGTTCAACAGCTGAGTCGCTGAAGCCCCTAGAGGCTAAAGAGGTGCCCAAGGTCACGCTGAGAGTTCCAATCCATCTCGTATTTAGGGCCGGGTAATAGTTGGGAGGGTGATGCCCCGCCTCACCTTTAGGTCCCTGACTGGGTCGCATTCCCTTCCCCTTTCTCTAGTCCCGGCGAAAATTCAAAAGGGACCGGATAACACTAAGGCGCGCAAAGGCACCACGGTGACGCTGACTGCGGCGATCATGGGCGAGCCTGCGCCCAACGTGGGCTGGACCAAGGACGGCAAGGACATCGAGGAGGATGACAGGCGAGGGCGGGGAGCGGCTGCAAAGGCAGGGCCTGGCGCTGGAGCCTGGGCCGGATGGAGCCCAGAAAACCCGCGGGAGTGGGACGAGGGAGGGGAACTGGGAGGCAAAGAACAGCGCTGGCTAAGAAGCCGGGCCCGGGAAGCCCGTAAACTGACACGCGGTCCCGCCCCCTTCCCCCGCAGGGTTTACTTCGAGATCGGCAGCACCAACACAACGCTGACCATCCGCCGGGCCACCCCCCAGGACAGCGGCAAGTACGAGGTGTACGTGGAGAACAGCCTGGGCATGGACCAGAGCTTCGCTCGCGTGGACGTGGCCTGAAAGGGACCCTCGGAACTTTCGCTCCGTCTCCACGCCTTGGGGTGGGTGGGACTAACAACCCCCTTCTTCTTGCTTAATAAAGCTGCTCTCTCGGACCCTCCGCGTCTGTTCTCTTCTTATGAGTCGCCATTTCCACTCCCCGGTACCCACACACCGAAGTCACAGTGTTGGGGGCAGAGGGAAGTTTGGAGAGTGCCTGGTCCAGTGCCGGTATTCACAGACAGTAAATCTGAGCGAGATCGCTTCTCTCACGGTAGGAAGCTGCTTCACTGCCCAGCAGGAGGGCAGAGGCGTCTACGACTCCTTCTTTTCTTTTGTAACCTTCAAGCCTCGCGCTGCCCACGTCCGTTTCAAGGGTGACCACACCCCACTCTCCTCTGCAGGCTCGCTTCCCCTGTGACCTACTTTCTCTACTTGAACTACTACCCCCGGGCCCATTCCCAGACGGCTCGTGATCCTAATCCAGGCTCCCGCCTCCGCTTCTCATTTCGACCCTCCCCTTCAATCCCTTGGCCACGCCTCCTTGTTCTCCCACAAGTTCCACCCCTTTCTCAGTGGGAACGAGGGAGGAACTTCAGAACTACAATTCCCGGCAGACCCTGCGAAGTTCTCGCGAGTGGCGAGAAGACACGTGCGCGGAAGGAGCCAGCAGTAGCGGGCGGCAGAGCTGGCGTAAAGGGGACTGGGGGTAAAGAGGTCCGATGGAAGGGTGGCGAAAGGGGGAGAGGGCCGGGCACGGCCCCTAGACGAAGGGCGGCGCGGAGGTTCGGGCTGGCTCTCCGCACGTCGGATGCAGTCCTGGTCCCACAAGCCCTGGATACGCGAGGTTAGGGTTTATTAGTCAGTTGTGGGGTTCAGAGGGTCAGCAATCAGTCCTCCGAACCCAAAGGTTCAGCACTTGTCAGTCTTGGGACACAGGCGATTGGCATATTGTGTTTGGGATGCTAAGGGAACCTGTCTTTTTGATTCAGGGATCATCACCCTAGAGGTTAATTTTAGGATTTAGGTTCAGCATAGAAAGGGTTTTTGCCAGGGGTTGGAGTTGTCAAATGTAGATCAGTGTTAGTTTAATATTTAAAGTGGACTCTTAAGACTGTCGTGAAGTATGTGGGGCTCACTCGGGATTTGAGGTTCAATATCAGGATTCACTGTTGGGATGCAGGGCTTAACATCTAGAGTGGGGATGGACCAATTTGGGAATCCTTGGTTTGGGGATTTGGTTTTTGAAGGTTTGGGGTGTGAGAAGGAGGTTTATTGCTGAGCTTCGGAGTGTGCTGAGCTTTCAGCCAGAAGGAAGTCTGTTAGGGATGAGATTGTGGGGTGTGGATTTCAGAATTTGGGAGGAATCACTGTGAGGTTTGAAGGCTGGCTGGATTTGGGTTGGGATTTGAGATGTGTGAGATGTGTGAGGTGGTGTGCCCAGGGAGGGACTAGATTGAATTTATATCCCGGGAGGGCTCAGTGTTGCTATTTTGGATTTAGTGTTTGGTTGGGGTATGAGTGGGGTTCCAGGATTGGGGTCTGAGATCTGAGCCTAACTTTTCTTTGCTATTTGAGGTTTAGGTCGCAATTGCCGTCATGCTTAAAGCTGTGATCCTGATTGGAGGCCCTCAAAAGGGTGAGGAGCCAGGGCAATGTCGGGAGGCGGTTGAGCTGGAGTGATTGGGAAGCAGAAAACAAAAATATGCTTTTCTCTCCTCTCTCAGGGACTCGCTTCAGGCCTTTATCTTTTGAGGTGCCCAAACCCCTGTTTCCAGTGGCAGGGGTCCCTATGATCCAGCACCACATTGAGGCCTGTGCCCAGGTAATCCTGTAGGCTCCCCTCTCCCACCTCCATTCATCTCCTTCATGCTGTATTTCCCCCTTTACCAACCATGACCTCTTCCCACCAGGCATAACTCCAGGGACCACCATTTACAAATGACACTATGAATCATCTCCCTCCACCATCACCACACCACCAGTTGTGCAATGCAGTTGTCATGCGTCTTCTCCTAATCTAGCTTCTTGTCTGGCTTCTTCTTGCTCATATTTCACTCCTATGGAATGTGAGATTAGGCAGGAATCTTAGAGACAACTTAAAGCCGTATGTAGCATGAGAAACCTTAATGATAACAAAGCACAGAATCATACTACTCTTGCTCACTATGGAGCTAATTCCTGTATTGCTTTTGGTATTGGGACTGGCAAGGTTGATTTGAGTCCAGTCTCTGCCTGCTAAAAGGAATTGAGCAAATTTCTCACCCTTTCTCAGCCGTAGTTTCCTTATTTGTAAAGTGGGGCTGATTAGACCTACTTTGTGGGGTTGCAAAGCTTAGAGATGATGTTTGTAAAGTAATTAGTACAATGTAGACACTTGGTAAATGGTATCCTTAACCTCAAGCTGATCTTAAGCTCAGATTGACAGATAATAAATATGAGGGAAATGAATGGATTATCCTGTAATGCAGCTTGATAGGCAAAATCTTTCCTAGGGTGAACCCCACTTCAGATTGGGGGTGGGGGGAATAATCTATAATAATAAAAGCATAATATGCTAATTAGACTGGATGTCCTTCCAGACAACCTTCTGGACGAAGCCGGGGCTGTGAGGGAAGCCCGGGTCCCGGGTGCCAGAGGGAAGCTGGTGCTGGCAGCCGGAGGAAGGAAGGCCTACTCTTGCACAAATTTCGTGCATTGGGCCTCTAGTAGAATAATAAAGGATTAAAGGACTCTAACTTTGAGAGTCTTTTAATTAAGGGAAATAGACTCTAACTTCGTCATTGTCCAGAGGAGAAATCGGACCAGCATGGTAAAATGAATGCCCAAGGCCACAGTTGAGACTGAACGTGTGGTTTCTGGATTTTGGGCCAGGACCAGGGATTTCTCCCTCCCATAATTCCCTCCTATCAGATGCTGTTCTCTCAACCTCTTCCCTTGACCTCAGGTCCCTGGGATGCAGGAGATTCTGCTCATTGGCTTCTACCAACCTGACGAGCCACTTACCCGGTTCCTAGAAGCTGCACAGCAAGAGTTTAACCTTCCAGTCAGGTCAGGTGTTTGTGCGCATGTGCTGTGTAGGGGTGGGGGAGCAGTGCCCTAAGCATCTGAGTTCTCAGGAGTGGGTTGAGCCAGCATGGCCAGAAGTCACCCTCACACACTAGGAGGTTTCTGAATTCCTGTATATATTGAGTTTCTCTGTGGGCCTTAGGCAGGCATATCCTGGGAGCAGGAGGGGTCAGTGCCCAGGTTCATGGTATCTGACTCCTCTGATCTCACTGAGCTGGCTCTGGGGTCCCTGGGGACAGGTACCTGCAGGAATTTGCGCCTCTGGGCACAGGAGGTGGTCTCTACCACTTCCGGGATCAGATCCTGGCTGGGGACCCTGAGGCCTTCTTCGTGCTCAACGCTGATGTTTGCTCCGACTTCCCCTTGAGCGCTATGTTGGCTGCCCACAGACACCAGCCTCACCCTTTCTTGCTCCTGGGCACCACGGTGAGGGGGGCTGGAGGGTGTCAATGGGGTGATCCAGAGAGGTTCCTGGGATGCAGGGTATTGGGGAGGCAGGGCCAGACAGGGAGTTGGAGTGGGAATGCAGGTCAGGAGGGGTAGGTGCTAGAAACCCCAGCAGTAATGGAGGTGGTGGTGGAGAGAGACCTTGAGCCCTTTAGCTGCTCAGAAGTAGAGGGGGGAGGGCAGCTGTCAGGTGTCACCCCATCTGAAGGCTTGTCAGTGGCGGAGCTATGTGCCAGGTGCTATAGGAGAGGGAAAGCACGAGAGAGAAAACAGACCTTGCTGCCCTGGAGCAGGCAGGTCACTGCCTCGGTGTGTCTGTCTTTCAGGCTAACAGGACACAGTCCCTCAACTATGGCTGCATCGTAGAGAATCCACAGACGCACGAGGTAAGAGCAGAGAGGAGGCTGGCTGGGTGTCTATTCTGTGTATCATCATTCTCCCACTCTTCAGCCTCTAGAGCAGCGGTTCTCAACCTGTGGGTCGTGACCCCTTTGGGGGTCGAACGACCCATTCACAGGGGTCGCCTAAGACCATCGGAAAACACATATATAATTACATATTGTTTTTGTGATTAATCACTATGCTTTAATTATGTTCAATTTGTAACAATGAAAATATATCCTACATATTAGATATTTACATTACGATTCATAACAGTAGCAAAATTACAATTATGAAGTAGCAACGAAAATAATTTTATGGTTGGGGCCACCACACAATGAAGAACTGCATTAAAGGGTCGCAGCATTAGGAAGGTTGAGAACCACTGCTCTAGAGAATGCTGGAATGCTATGGGGTGGGCCCCAATCTTGTCCAACAGGTGTGGCACACCCTCAGTTGTTCCCTTCTGTCCCTTTAAGAAAGATAGGAAGAGGTAATAGGTAAATGCCATGGGTGTGGTGCTCCAATAGATATATGCATAGGTTGCTATGGCAACACAAAAAAGGGCTCCTACCCAGCCTATCTGGGTGGGGGTGGGGAGGGCTCCCTGGAGGAGGTGTGGTCTGAACTGAGTTAAATTTGGCAGCATGGAGACAGGAAGGCATTGCAGGTAGAGGGAACAATATATGCAAAGACATGGAGGCAGGAAACAGCATAGTGCCTCCAGAATTATGGAGGTGGGAGCATAATTAGCAAGGCGGGGGTGGGGCTGGGGATCTCTGTCCCTATCTCTGAAACTCTCTGGAGCCTCACTGACTTTCATACACCCCTTTTGTCTGTTCAAGTTTTAGTATTAAAAATACATATGTGAATACATTATATATATACTAGAGGCCCAGTGCATGAAATTCATGCACTGGGGGTGGGGGGGGGGGTGTCCCTCAGCCCGGCCTGTGCCCTCTCACAGTCCAGGAGCCCTCAGGGGGATATCCAACTGACAGCTTAAGCTGTCATCTCCAGCCATGAGCCTGGCTTCTAGCTGAGCACACTGACCACCAGGGGGCAGCTCCTGTGTTAAGTGTCTGCCCCCTGGTGGTCAGTGTATGTCATAGCGACCGGTCATTCTACTGTTTGGTTGATTTGCATATTAGCCTTTTATTATATAGGATATTTACACACGCACAGAGTTTTGTGTTAGGCACTAAGTAGTGTGAAAGAAACAGCCAGAAAGACACAACCCTGCCTCTCAGGAGCCCTCAGTCTGGGGGAGAGACATCAAAAACCAACCATTGCAGAGGACACAAGTGCCACTATGGGTGGGTGAGGTGTGGCCAGAGAACAGGAGTGCCCAGAGCTGAGAAGCTGACTCTGGGGCAGACAAGAGTGTACTTAGAGAGGGAGTGACGATGTCAACTGGGTTTTTGAAATCAAAGTCTTCCAGACGAAGAGTTGGTTAAGGGCATTCCGAAAGGCACCGGCATGCCGTGGCATGGAGTTGTGTCCTGGAACCGCTGGGAGGTGGGGAGGATCGGGAGGGAGAAGGCAGACAGTTCGGACTTATCTTGAAGGTGGAGTTGAAGGGCAGTGACAAGATATGCTCTGCATTTTAGGAAGACTCCCGTGGCAACAGGAGGACCTGGCCATTTGGAGCGTCTTAGGGGATGGTGGCCGTGGCCCCTCCTCTGCTGACCCCAGCCTGCTCTGTCCTCAGGTTCTGCACTATGTGGAGAAACCCAGCACGTTTGTTAGTGACATCATCAACTGCGGCATCTACCTCTTTTCCCCGGAAGCCCTGAAGCCCCTACGGGATGTCTTCCAGCGTAATCAGCAGAATGGGCGACTGTGAGGCAGACCCCATGGCCCTGTAACCCCAAGTACCCTGAGTCACAGCCCCCCTGCCCCAGCCTCTGCTGGCTCCATCGCAGCCAGCTCATCTTCCTCCTCCCTTCCCCCTTCCACTTGTCATCTCCAGCCAAGCCTCTCCAGTTCCTCCCCTTCTAACCTCATTCTGTCCCTCTTCCTTATCCATCCCAGTTCCTCCTCTGTCACCACCTGCCCACTCCCCTTCTGGTCCATTTCTCTCAAGCCCTGAGTGTCCCAGAGATGTCTTTCAGAACAGACGGTAACACACACACTTGGGCGCACATATGTTTGGGTGCAGGCATGCGTGTGTGCACGTGCGCGCGCGCACACACACACATACTCTCAGGCTGAGGAGGCTCCCTTTGGAGCATAGTACCCCAAAGGGAGCTGTGCTCACCACAAACCACAATCCCAGGGTGGTCCTCCTAGGCCTGGGAACGGTTCCCTTCTCTGGCTCCCCTGCCTTCATTCCCTCTCATGCCTCATTCCCTCATAGCCATCTTGTCACTCCCACTCTTATCTCTGCTTCTCTCTCCATCTCTTCCTCTCATGCCTCATTCCCTCATATGCCTCATTCCCTCATAGCCATCTTTTCACTCCCACTCTTATCTCTGCTTCTCTCTCCATCTCTCCTGGCCTCTTTGTTTCTGCTGAACTGGCATCTCTACCATCTCTCTCTCCCTCTTTTTCTGTGACTGTCTCTGCCCTCACCAGCTGCCTTCCTCTGGGGTGAGTCTGTCTGTGTTTCATTCCATCCAGTGAGAGGGAGGGACCGGAGGTGGGGTTTAGAGGGGTGGATAGGAGGGGGATGGGATAATTGGGGGAAGCCAAGTCTGGTCGAACTCCTTCTGGACATGGGGCAGGATGGGCAGCAGGTCTACGCCTGGGGCTCCCCTGGGATAATCCCCAGCTGGGAGAGTGAGGGGCTGAGTGGTGGGTGAGCCTCCTGGGATGTGAGCATCCTTGGGAGAGGCCTTGCAAGGTAATGGGGTGCCCTCCGATTCCCCTTCCTGAGAGACTGTATTGGCCACCCAGTTGGGCTCAGTTGGGGAACTGATGTCAGCATCCTGTCCCCTCTACCAGGGAGGACTCTTCAGGCCTGTGGCGGGGGGCAGGCACCATCCGCCTGGAACAGGACGTGTTCTCAGCCCTGGCTGGGCAGGGCCAGATCTACGTGCACCTTAATGACGGTATCTGGAGCCAGATCAAGTCTGCAGGGTATGGGAGAGGCCTCTGATGGGGTGTCTGGGGGTTGAGACTTCAGGACGGTGGGCCCAGGCCCTGCTGGCCCCTGAGCCCCTGCTCTACTTTGTGGCCCCCAGCTCGGCCCTCTATGCCTCCCGCCTCTATCTGGGTCAGTACCAGTTCACTCACCCCGAACGCCTGGCCAAGCACAGCCCAGGCGGGCCG